GATACCCTCACAGTGGCAAAGACAGTGTTTGAAAATGTATTTCCCACTTAGTGTATGCCTTCAACAAACTCTGAGCAAATCATATGAACTTTTTAAAAAATTATTGATTTTAGTGAGAGAAAGGAAGGGAGAGAGATAGAGAGATAGAAACATCAATGATGAGAAAGAGACATGGATCGGCTGCCCCCTGCAAGCCCCCTACTGGGGATTGAGCCCACAACTCAGGCATGTGCCCTGACCCGAATCAAACCGGGGACCTCTTCGTTCATGGGTTGACACCAGCCGGGCATAAATCATAATGAACTTTGATGGCAGACTTGAACACTTGCAGTTATCACTGACCCTATCACTCAATTATCAGGCAAAATTGAGAGAACTAATGGGAAAACGGATTCAAGCAGAAATTTCAGTTAGATGGGGCTGAATGAACTGATGAGAACGGTTACAATATTTATAACTTTTTGTTTGAAATATTGCTGGATTTTTTTTTCAGATATAAGAAAAACAATTTTCAGCCGAAACTGGTTTGGCTCAGTGGATAGAGCGTCGGCCTGCGGACTGAAGGGTCCCAGGTTCGATTCCGGTCAAGGGCATGTACCTGGGTTGCGGGTACATCCCTAGTAGGAGATGTGCAGGAGGCAGCTGATCGATGTTTCTCTCTCATCGATGTTTCTAACTCTCTATCTCTCTCCCTTCCTCTCTGTAAAAAATCAATAAAATATATATATATAAAAAAAAAGAAAAACAATTTTCTAAAGCTAGCTATGACTTAGAGCAATTTGGTAAACTATACCTTTGTAAACAGAATAGAAACATTTGTCCTTTTCTCTTGATTCCTCTAGAATTTGGAAATTCTCAGTGAGTGTTCTCATTTTCATGGCAATATTGTTATTTGCATAAGTTCAATAAAAATCTGTTCACCTCATAACAGAAGACAGTTGGAAACTAGTTATGTATCAAGGATTTGACTGGAATGTCATATTTGACTCAGATATGACCAGACAGCTTTAAAATTGACTGATGGAAGCCAATAAAAACCCTTTGAAATATTGGCATAGTACCTTGCTTACCTAAGTCATCAGCAGCCTTAGGAGGTGAGTAAATGTCATTTCTTGGTAGGTACAGAAGCTTCAGGATATTTTGAGGAATTTGAGAAAAGAGGAACTCACCCAAATCTATACTATTGCAGGTAAGGTCTGGTGGCAAGTTCTTGCCATGGCTTTTCTGGCCTCAAGATGCCTTTTTAAGTTCAATCTGAAGATTTCTTATGGAGAATTTCAGCACAGCATTGTTAAAAGAGCCTTTCTGCTTAATGACTACTCTTGCTGGACTTATACAACTAATCAGGCCAAGTTTATTGAAACTACTTATTTTGCAAAATGAATTAGACTTAACCTGGCTATCTTTGGTAAAAATAATTATTTTAGAGGGAAAAATTATGTTTCAATAGAAACTACAATATACCTTTGTGGATATTATATTCTAATGCTGCTCATTATTTTTTGAGTTTTTTGTTTTCTTCTTGTAAATGGATTGGATCTTCAACTATCCTAGGTTCCTCCAACATCTGCCTATGACTCTCCAAACAAATGTTTCCAATTTTTCTTTCATCCTTTGTCTTGGAATCATTGGGAACTGCAACTGCCCTTTTCCCAAGGCCATGTAAGCTGAAGATGGAGAACTTGATAATAGAGTTCAGAGAAATCACCACAACAGTTCCTATATAGACAGTCATTCTGCCTATTACAGAAAGATCACCAGAGACATTCATACTGCAGACCAGGAGAATCTATCAGACTGTAACTACCTGTCCTCACTCAATCTGATGATGATTCGAGACATATTTAGAAATCTTCTCAACTGCCTGCCTTCAAAACTCAGAAACAGATTATAGTCTGCTTTTTTCTTTTGTTTCCATAGAGATGCTTTTTATTAAATACCAGCACTGTCCTTGCACCATAGGCTTAATTTTAGGAGCCCACTGGCATCACTGCCTCCTGAAATGAGATACAACTGTTTACCTGAACTGAACTTTTCTCAAGAGCGAGGCTATCGCCCTAGCAGCTAGGGCCTAGCTGGTTTGGCTCAGTGGATAGAGCATCAGCCTGCTGACTGAAGGGTCCCGGGTTCGATTCTGGTCAAGGGCACAGGCCCAAGTTTGAGCATGCAGGAGGCAGCCGATCAATGTTTCTCTCTCTCCTTCTTCCTTTCTCTCAGAAATCAATAAAAATATATTTAAAAAAAAAAGACTATTAACACCATTTCTGGAATGTGAAACTTCCAGGGTCAGGAAGGAACGGTGGGGGTTCAACATGTATTTGTGGTATGTGGATTGTTTTTGAGCTAAAGGCAGCTTTTAGCTGTGGGCTCCTGAGAAACTTCTACTCTGCAAATACTTAGAAGAACTTGGATTGGGGGTTTTGCCCATGATAAGAGGTTATTATCTAGAGGGCAGGGCAAACTACTAATTAGTTACTAAACCTGCTCTCCCTGCAATGGCTCTTGTAATCCCCAAGGCACCTTACCTCATCTCTACCTCAGAATGTCTGATATACCCATTCTCGCTTTCTGTCTTTGAACCTGTCACGCACGCGGGGTCTCTGACTCTTGTATGTATGCGTGGTTCCCATAAATGTGTATGAATTAAATTTGGTTGTTTTCTCTTGTTAATCTGACTCATCTCTATTCGGTTATTAATTAGACCAGCTGAAAGAACCTTGAGGGTAGAGGAACGTTTCTCCCTTCCCACACAGACTACAAATTTTTGGCAGAAATGCCACAAAACTGATGTTGTGTCTTTCTCAGTGCAATATCAGGGAGCATATGATGTTTTCCTCATTACTGGTAAGGTTAACTTTGGCCACTTAAGATAATTTAGTGTGTAGTGTTGACATTCAAGCATATTAATTTGTATTCTTTTCTGGCCAAATGACTTTCCTTGTTCTTTATTTGAGTGCTTCCTCTTGTAGGAGGAGAAAAAGTTTCCCTCAACATTCGTAGGGTCCCTGGGTGGGTCTGAAAATCAAACTGATAAAGACAGATGAAAAGGAGAAAAGCATAGACATTTATTTGTTTCACATGTGACTGCATCAATCAGTACATGACATGGGAGTCTTCATAAGGAAACAGTGACCTGAAGAGACAGTTAGACCGGAGTATTTTTATGCTAAGTTTGTTGAAGAGCGAGCAGTTGTGGAGGAATAAGTAATAGGAGGTAACTGTCATAAATTGGGGGAGACCTAGCAAGGCCCGTTTGTTCTTCCTCCAAGCATAGGGATGGTACCTCTCACATGAGGTGTTTATGACCTGGTCCAGGTCAGGGGAAGGTCTGAGTGGCTTTCCCGCTTCTGTTTTCTCAGATTCCAGCTTTAAATATTCAATTTGCTAGGTGCTATGTTTTGGGGTAGCTTGTCCTGAAGCTCATCATTCTACACCCACCAATGCTATTAGAGGACTGTAAGAAGAAGAAGACACATTGAGAGGAACTTATTTTCATCAGTGATAATAATTTGTTAGGGTGATACCTTGTATAGTCCTTTGAAGCTTCCTAAGCACTTTTGCATAGTCCAGTGATGGCGAACCTATGACGCGCGAACTCATTTTTTTGGTTGATTTTTCTTTGTTAAATGGCATTTAAATATATAAAATAAATATCAAAAATATAAATCTTTGTTTTACTATGGTTGCAAATATCAAAAAATTTCTATATGTGACACGGCACCAGAGTTAAGTTAGGGTTTTTCAAAATGCTGACACGCCGAGCTCAAAAGGTTTGCCATCACTGGCATAGTCTATTTTATTTAAAATATCCTAATAACCCTCTGGGGGGTGGGGTGGGCTAGTATTTGAATTAGAGGAAGAATTAGAATTACAGAATTACAGTATACATCTCTGTATTGCCATGATAGGGTTAAGTCAAAAGAATGCTTAAATAGTTAAAGGCTATTTTAGGCAGCGACTCCTGTCTGCTTTCTGAGAAGCCACTGAGTCAGGAAGACAGGGGAGAGACAATTTGGGAGGATACTGGGGCGGAGGGATGGCAAAGAGGAAGAGGGGACACAATTAGAATTAGGATTCTGGACACAGCTGGGATTTAGGAATGATGTCTCCTGGGCCTGGGGAAGCGAGAGGAAACGGGCAGAAACTGGTCTGGGTAGAGTTGA